CTCCTTCAGAGCCAAAGTGGCACTAATGATGAAGAATACATTATTTTAAAGTGTAAAATAATAAGTCGGTCAAGTTTGACTTTGAAACCCTCACCTAGGATGTTGTATAATGTCTACATTTTCATTTATAGTAGCGCATTAGCTGAATACTTAAACCTTAAAGCTGCAAAAGGGCTTAATGCAGGTTTACATATGAACCCCAAACCTGCCGATGGATTTGGAAGGCATGTTGCCTTTTATAAAAGAGAAAAAATCACCAAAATTACACCATAAAGAAACTCAAACTGTAGAAACAGAATGTGTTGTTGCTTTTGTTTTTTAACTCTCTGACAGTCTTTGAACTACTCATCTGTGTGCCGTTCTGTTGTGCAACTTAACCAAACCTCAGCTTAAAATCGTGACTACCTAATTCAAAAACTTGCCTAAAATACACAAGTCGCTTTAATTAGATTCTGTCAAAAATGAAATATTCTGTGTTTCTCGGCACAAACAAGAAGTTAATAGTGACTCAGAGTTGACCAACATGTGTTGTCAAGAAAATCCAGACGCTTTTGTGACAAAATCCAGAGATTTTTGTGCTGAACTGGGTTGAACTGCGGGTTGTGTTTACACAGAGAAGATATGATCAAGTGGGGAAACAAATGTATTTAGCAAAATATCTATAGCATGTAGAGACATTTTTCCCCCCCAGTGTAGCTAAAATCTGTGGGCACTTGAAAAAAAATGTTGTACAAGTTGATTCCAGATTTTTTTCAATTTTTGCAAAACAAATGATCCAACAGTTTGGCTTTTTTTGTCTCATACTGCACAAAAGACATGTTTTAGTTCTCTCTACTTCTAGTCATAGTTATGGTGTTTCCATAGAGGGGCAGGACTTTATATTGCAGTTAAAAATGAGCTCACAATGAGTAAAAATGTGACGCTCAGTTAAACAGCTGCTCAGTCCATGTTCATACAGGCTGCTGTCGGTTCATAAATTTACCGTATAATCTCTGTAAACTGAAATGATCCTGTGGGGAGGTTTAGTAGGTTTAGCATATTAGATTTATTTCCAGATGTTAATCACATTTACATGATTTACATGAAAACTTCAGTACTGAGCTTCCTGCCTTGTGTGTGTTTGTGTTTCAGGGTCCTGGACGTTGTTCTCCAGACCTCCGGCGGCACTCAATGCTCGACCCGTCGGCTCTGGACTCGGAGGTGAACCGCCTCCGCCAGCGGCTGCTCAGCACCGAGGAGGCCCTGAGGAACGCCTTGGAGCACAACCAGCAAGTCGACAAGCTGGTCCAGGCCATGCGCAGACATCCAGAGAAAAGCCCGGTAAACTGGAGAAAAATAAAACCGTTTCTTTCACAGATCAAACTTGGAAGTGTGAGAATGACTGATGATTCTGGGGCACTAAAGGTTGAAATAATAATCTTTATTCATAGAGTACTTTTTAAAAATCCATGTTCCAAAGTGCTTCAGAAGGGCAGCAAAAGAAAAAAAACATAGAAACCATCAAATCGAGAGGTTTTGAAAGAAGACAGAGAAACAAACAATTTGGTGTATTAAAAGGTTGGAGAGTTAAGCTTAAGCTGGTTCAGAGTGAGGATAAAGTCTGGGTAAAGCCTTTAACCCCAACAGCTCCAGTGGTCAGCAGGTCACTTGCAGTTGTTCTGGGCAGCATCCCAGTGTGAGTGTGATAATGTAGGTTTAAATATACAAACTTGCCAAGTATCCATAACAGAAGGGACGTTAAGATGCTTTGAGATGTTTGGAGAAAAACTAAGATGAGGTTTTAATATCAGCTTTTTTTTTTCACAGAGAAGCTGGATTTTAATGTGTGAGGAGCAGTTTGTGTGCATTTAGTCAAATATGCATTTCTTGCCAAGAGTCAGACTGATACCACAGCAAACATGAAGCTGTGACCAGCAGCTGGTTGGCTGAGCTTAGTGCAAAGACTGGAAGCAGGCAGGAAACAGCCAGTCTGAGTCTGAACAAAGATGGAAAAAAATCCTACCAGGACCTTGAAAGTTGTCAGCGTTGTAGTTTAACCCTCTGAACCCAGCAGCAGTTTCTGGCTGTTTATTTGCTCCTGACACATTTTTACTCACTGTGGCCTCATTTTTCACTGTAATATAAAGTCCTGCACCTGTATGGAAACACCACAACCATGACTAGAAGTAGAGAGAACTCAGAAATGTATTCAGTGCACTATGACACAGATATAATTACATAAATCCTAATAAAAAGTAAAATCGGTAGTTGAATTTCCTGAATTATTCCTCATACCAACACTGATAAAAATCAGCAATCAACATTTTTCCAAGTACCCACTAGTTTAACTAACACTGGGGAGGGGAATGGTAACTCTACATACTCTAGATATTCAACACTTACATTTTTAACGTGTTTCTATACTCCTGTCTGCTCTGTGTAAACACAGCCTGCACTTCAGTTTAGCTTAAAAATCCCTGAATTTTTGTCATGTCATCGTTGGTTGCAGCTGAATCTCTAACAGCTTCACCAATAAACGCAGAATTTTTGTATTTTTACAGAATCTGATTATAGCAAATGCTTTATTTTTGGCATTAAGTGATTTTGATGAAATGTCAACATTTAAAGCTTGGGTTTTGGTCTTATTTTGACTGAGAAATGTGTTAACAGATGAGCAGTTCACAGACTGTGTTGAAATGTTAAAAATTTGGCATTTTTCCCGTTTTTACGGTTTCTTTCTATGATAAAGGGTGTAATTTTGGCAATGCCTTTAATGTTTACCTCACAGACATGAGATTTATATCGGTCTACTCATCCAATGATCTACAAGAAAGCAAAAAAGGGAATTTGCAAAAATGTTGAACTTATCCTTTAATGTCTCTACAATGCAATGCAGCTAAATCCTACCAAGAACAAGACTTCACTGATGATTTATTATTGTGTGTTTTTTTTTAGGTGCACGGTGCAAATTCAGCTAATGGAATTCACCACCAGGAGTCAGACAGCACTCGAGATGTTGGTATTCTCTCATTATGTTTTTAATCATTACTGTTGTACTAATATTCTGAATACATCTCAGTTAAGACGCCTTCTTTTTCTCTCTCACTCTTTTTTTTTTTAGGAACAACACTGATATGAGCAGAAGACAAACGACTGGGACGCTGCCACGACCCAGACGGAACTGGGACTCGCAGAAGTAAATCTAAAAAAGACAGAAGACGTTTGTCCTGACCCTGCGATGGACGCCTGAAGAACCTTTCAGTTTACAGTTCATACCAAAACAGCGAATCTCTATCTCAAGTGAATTTATGTGTTGTTGCAGAAAGCACCTATTAGCCAATCACGAAGACCGCTTAAAGTCCTATAAAGTATAGACAGGAAATAAGACACGGACATGGAGAGGTATTATCGGTACAACAACTGCTGAGAACTCACAGTGCGGCGACTTTTGATGCTTTACAGTAGTTAGAAAGTTTGAATCTACAAGTTGCCGGGAACTCATTTTGACAATTCTGAATTTTGATCCGGAAAGCAGAAACGGCTGACGGACGACGACGACGACGCGAAGAACCGGGCCTCAGTCGCTTTGTCTGTTTTATTTATTACTTTTACTTTGCTCCTCTGCTTTGTAATAATCCTCTATACTGTAGGTGAGCTGTCTTGGCCTGTGACACTCGGAGCAACAAGGAAGGACGACTGTTTTTAAAGGGGATGTGGCTCGTTTGTCGCCTTCTTATCTGTTATCTGACGAGGATTGGTAGCGAACTCATCACGCTGTTCTGTGCTGATGTTTTAGTGCACAAAAATGATTGGAAATATTGTCTCCATCCAACAGCACCCTGATTTTTCAATATATAACTTGATTCTTGGTGTGTAAAGATCAGAGGACCCAAACACAGATACACAGAAAAACTGAGCTTTGCTTTCAAAGCTGGTGCATATTACAAAAAAATAAAAATGTCCAGACAGACAAACAAACTACACAAAGCAAAAAAAATAAAATAAAAAAAAACAAGAAAACAGACGAGACTGAATAACAATCAACAGACTGAGGCAGAAAAACAGGAACAGGTACAAAAGTGGTACACAAGAAAATAAACTAGAACCAGGAAGACATAAGAAATGCAAGGAACGGCTGGAAGTCTTCACAGCAAAAAGTATACAGACTAAACACAAGGCCACCTGCCTAACATCGCGTAGGTCCTCCTCAGACAACCGAAATGCATCCTTTATGTTGAGATCTGGGGAGTTTAGAGGTGAAGTCAAGGCCTTGAGCTCTTGGTTGTGTTCCTCGAGCATCTCTTGAGTATTTTTTTTTTTTCATGTGGCAGGATGTTTTGAGCTTGCCTTGGTCTGCAGCAGTGTTTAGGAATGTGCCTCCCAGAAGAACATTACATTATAAGGAGATGTTCAATCTTAGTCACTTCATCTGCCAGTTTGGAATGCTGTACCTGATTGCAAGAAAAGTCCTAGGAACCAAAATCAACAGAGACACACAGAAAACAAAACCTCAAAATCAAACAGGTAATTCTCACATGAGTTCATAACAAAACCAAAACCGTGACACTGTGGTCAAGTTAAAAGCATTTTGATTACGATGAATTTGACTTTTTTTGTAACCTTCATGTTTCTCTATGGTCCGAACACTACTCATGTCAAATGATGCGTTCCATTTTTCATGTGTTTTGGCCGTGAAACAAAATAAATGTCAAACTACACATTTAATGCCAATTGCAAGTTACTCTTAAAGCATCACAAATAAAAGCCTTACGTAAGCAATCAGGGTTAACAAATCAAGTTTATTCATATGATATGGCACATTTAAAATGACCTGAGTTGACCAAAGTGCTGCACAGGATAGAGACTGATGGAATCAATTCTGTAAAACAAAAAGAAAATAGTATGGAAAAACCAAGGCAAAACATGAAAAACTAAATATTGAAACCACTTTAAAAACATGTCAGCTTATGACTTTTCTGAAATATGTCAGCGATGGAGGAACATATGATCGAGAGAGGGCTCTTCCAAAACGGTGTATGTTGATATGAGACAAAAAAACAAGGAAAAATTAGAGAAAAGGCATTAAAACAATCATCATACTTCTGTATTGGCTACTCATCAAGAAAAAAAACACACACCAGCAGTCATTTGTATCAACTGAACTACCATCTCCTCAATCATATGAACACTGGAGGAGAATAACTGGACAGATGTTGATGATTTCACTACCAATCCTCTCCTCGGGTGTTCGTGAAGGCGGCCTCGTCTCTAAATACGTTTTCAGCCATTGCACATCGGTGGAAACTCCTGCTCGGACTGACGACTGAACCTGGGAGGCCTCCAGCTCTGAGCGACATTATAGAATGAACACACTCCAGACTTTTTTGTTCTCTTCAGAACTCCGTCTGACCCCACACTTCTCACCCCCATCAGTAACGATGGGTCATTTTGTTTACCGTGCATCAACGCAGACCCCATCCCTGCGTTAATATTGATTAACTACATGTGGTACGACATAGAAAGCCCGCGTTAATGTCACAATTTGCTTCACTGACCCTTTCTCAAGTCTACTGAAGGGCTGCCACAAGAGCTAAAAACCCAAACAATGGATGTTACTGATCCTCACCCAGATTGACGACATCTGGATTCCATCAGTGTGTTTTGAATTTATACTCTTAAGTCTTCCAAATATTGTTTTTATCCATTTGTCGACTGAACCAGGGGATGTTGTTTGTGGCTTTGTTGCAGGAGAAGTTGCAAAGAGGTGAGTGCTGATGTGCAGAAAAGCTCGAGAGTAGAGTCTCCTGTGCAGATCACGCAGGAGGAGGCGCTGGTCAGCTCAGATCAAAAAAAAAAAAAACTAAAAAAAAAAACGACATTTTTTTCCCATTGGATATTGTACATGGCCTTTTCAGCTGCAGGGTTCGTACCCTCTGGATCATTGCTGCAACGGTTTTTTGGAGATTGATTCATTAAATATTAACAATGTGGGCAAGGGCTGCTGGTGTTTTATTTCACACTCTTTCATACTCGTGTCACTTCTGAATGTTTGTTGTTTTTTTTGAGGCAAAGCGCAGTGGATTCGGTGTATTTCCACAGAAGGGGCGTCAGATTTCACGCCCGCTAAGAGGCTGCCGGTTTGGGAAATTCAGCCCAAACAACCATAACCGTTCACCCATTTCTCAGCCACACACACACACACACACTGTCAGAGCCAAAATAAACTGTGTTTTGTTGATCGTGCACACATCTGAGGCAAATATCTGTTATTAAAATAAGTTTGTGTCGACCAGAAGAGGAGGCAATAATTCCTTTATGTGGAAAAAAAAGCTCCAAGTCCCCCCCTTCCCCTTCCCCAGATGGAGAAGATGAAACATCCCAGACTTTGCATGTTTATTTACAATCTTTGGATTCCTAACCTCCAGATATATCACTTTTATTGGCTGGCCTTGGCAAATGTCAGGTCTTATCCACATGTCCCAGTTTTTTTTTTTGTTTTTTTTTGCTAGAGGGCAGATTGGTTATGCTGGTGACATTTGAATAAGTGACTACTTATTTTGCAAAGAGCAAGCAAAAAAAAAAAAAGTGCAGCATATGTGAGAAGCACAGGAGTTTTTATAGTGACTGGGTGTAAAAGTAACTGAAACTAAGTAGATTACAGTGGATTATATACATGATTTATGGTTGAAATGATTCTAAATGGCATGTTGGTACATTTACTAGAAGATAACCGTTAGTTCCTTTCCTCTAGGATATGAACTTTACCCTATATTAAATAGACATGAGCTATTTTAAGCAATCACTACAGCTATGGCATAACTTCCATGGCCACAAGATCCATGTAGCTGCTGTATATCCACTTTGGACAGATCCTAATCCTAAAAATAATTTGGGTGCTGCACAACTATCTCATGAAACCACCTTCATGCAGCCTATGAGGGATTTGTATTTTCTCAAAGCAGTGTGAAGTTGCAGCCAAGAGTAATTCAAATAGTCACAGCGGTGAATAAAATAAAAAATAATAAAATATATATATATAATTTTAAAGGCTTGTTTTTTTTGTCTTTTTCACACTCTTCTTCCCACGTTTCTCTGTCTCT